CCTTGCAAGCAGGCAGTCATGAGTTCCATCTCTGGTACCGATAAAAACGAAAAGGAAAAAAAAAAAAAGTGCAGATTTACAGGGAAAAGCCTTCACTAAAAGTAAATGGAAATGGTAAGAGACTTTAGCTTGAGGAGTTGACATCTGATGAGCAGGACCAGACTGGCCCACCCATAAATGTGGGGGCTTTTTTTTAAAGCACTGGCTGAGGGGGGCCAAGGTCTTGTGACTAGCCCTTTTTTTTTTAATTGGTACCCGGGATTGAACTCACGACTGCCTACTTGCAAGTCAGGCACTTATGCCGCTGAGCTAAATCCCCAGCCCCTAGCCCTGGTTTTGTAGCTCAAGTTGAATCAGGCTTCAGGACTGGAGGGCAATTTGGTTCTCAAGGTAGGAATTCTGAGGCTTTGTGGAGCAATTCCAGTCCAGTGAGGTTCTCTGAAATCCAAGGTGACTGTAGGGTTAGAACAGTGGTGACTTCTGGTCCTAGTGTTCTCAGCCTTGAAGGCTGATGAGCTAGACTAGGGAGACTCAGGGCAAACAGGCACTCCCAAAAAACGACTCATATGCCTGGATGCAGAGTTAGGAAGGGTTTGCACAGAGCTTTACAAGATGAAGGCCAAGCTTTGTTCTACTTTTAGTTACTCATTGGACCTTTGCAGGCCTAAGTGAAGATTCACAGTTCTTAGCAGAAAACGCTTGTAAATTCCTGACTGCCTCAGGGGAAAGCACAAGCCATGACTGGGTGAGTAACAGGTGAAGGGCCCAAAAGTGTGCCTGTCCCACACTCATGGTGGTCTCTGGCTACAGCATGACTCTACATCCCTTGCAGACTTCTTCCAAATGTTTTCCTGGGCCACAGGGAAATGTTTCGAATTCTCCTCTTCTTTACAGTTAGAGATATCTGGATGAAAGTTTTTGAGGAACTGTGACATTCTGGAATATTCTTTCATAAAAGCAGTCTGTCTTTGTAACTGAAAGGAGTATTTCTTTATTCCTGGGTTTCATGGAAGGAGAAATTATGCAGCTCTTGGCTGGATATAGGCCTATTCCTGGGTTTGCCAAAAGGGGTTGGTTTGACCACTGGACCTGACTTCATGTTCCCATTCTGAGACCACTGGGATTGTAAAATTTTTGCTGCTGAGTCCACTTCTTGTAAATGGCTTCACATACTTAAGAATAAAGAGTTTCTCTCTGTTACTGTTGGCTTTGGGGTTCCCCTCTCACCGTCCAGCACAGTGGTCCTGCTTATATGGGAACAGTGTCAAGCTTTTACATTTTCTGTTCTACAGTTAGTGGAAAGTAAATAAGCAGCAATAAATCAGCTTTATTATGCATGTTTTCTGCCTTGGGTGGCACCTGGAATTTGCTGAATCTGCTGAATGCAACTTAAATTTTAAAAGGCTCCCGGGCCTCACCTTTTCTGCACCACACAAGCCAAATGGAAAACCAAATAATCAGCATAAGCAAAACTGCATGGGTCCTTTTTCTAGGTCTCTACTGACCAGAGACCCTGTTGCAAAATTCCAATACCTTTTCTCCTCCTTCCAGCTGTTAACTCTTCATGACCAAATTTAACTAACTTCTCTCCTCCTCTCAGATATTCAACAAAGGATTTTGCATATTACCTAGACCAGTGGTGGAGAACCTTTATGGTACAGGCTATTTGCTAATACTGACAACTCTAAAAGCTTTGCCGAACTCATATATTGTGGTACAAAACAATTTAGGTGAAAAAAAACACAAACAAAATCCACTCACATCCCTTAATTTTTCAAGTATTTCATCAAATACCCGTCTCTGTCTGTCTGTCTGTCTGTCTGTCTCCTCTCTGAGACAGGGTATTGCCATATAGTTCAGGCCTTGCAGTCACTATGTTGCCCAGGCTGGGCTTAAACCCATGGAAATCCTCCTGCTTCAGCCTCCTCAGTGCTGGGACAGGCATGTGCCACCATGCCTGACTTCAGTCTTAACAGAATTTGAGAAGTGACTTTAAAGTAATGCAGCTGATTTGCACGTGTACTCACACTAATGCCAACTAGTCACAGCTTCCCACTGACTTGTACATGGAGCTGAAAGCAGAAGAATGAATGCACATTCTAAGCACAGGGTCCATCTTTCCCAGTGATTTGTCCCATGCTGTTACTCTGCCTTAGAGCCTACAAATTCCTGTTAAGACTTTTAGGTAAGGTGCTTAATTATTAAAGAAAAAAAAATCGGTATCCTATCTTTCCAGGGATACTATAACTTGGTAATAATCTCAATTTAGATAAAGCAGCATGGTGTGCATAGTGAACAAAGTGTCAGTATGGAGCTCAGAGAGGTCACAGTTGAATCCCAGAGCCACGTTTATTAGCTGTGTGCTGTTGAATATTCGTCATGATCTCTCCTCTGCTTCATTTTTTCCCTCTGCAAAATGGGAAATGAAGGCAAGGGTTAAATAAGATGATAAATGGGAGGCCCAAGCTAAATGCTGGGCATACAACAAGTGTATGTTTCCCTTCCCTTTGCAAGTCAGAGTTTAGATTATGAACACAAAGTAACTCTACCAAGCGCTGCCTCTGACTGAGGGCACTGTTTTCCACGAAGAGAGTTCTTGGTGGCCCTCTGTTGTGACTGTTGATTGCACATATCTGGAAATGATGATAACCAGTTTGCTTTGAGCTCAATTTGGACCCAGTATAGCTCTATATAAGGCAGCCTCTATCCTTCAGTTTTCCCAATGCATCACAGCTTGGCTTGAATTTGGGCAGAGGAGCAAGTGTCAAAGGAAATGCACAAAGTCTGGGAGGAATTGTGGTTCAGCTAGCAATTACCAGGCTGGCCTGGCCCTGCTGGGGTCCTGTTCCTGAGCTTTTATGGGTACACTCTCATTGGAAGTACTTAAAGAACTTTATTATATGCCTCCTTTGCTCATATGTCAAATGATTCTAAGAGGCTAAGTGACTTTCCCAAGGTCACAGAGATAATAAATGGGCTTAGAATATTGTGAGCTTTTTGACCTGGAAGAAGCAGAGCAAACCAGACATAATGGTGTACACCTGTAATCCCAGCACTCAGGAGGCTGAGGCAAGAGAATCACCAAGAGTTCAAAGCCAGCCTGGGGTACATAGCAAGTTCAAGTCCAGTTTGAACTACGAGTCCAGTTTGAACAGCAAGACCCTGTCTCAAAAAACAAAAGAGGCAGGCAGAAGGATGTGCAGTGTTGGAAGATCAGTTTCCTGCCATGTCTGTCTGCCATAGTCTATTCCGGCTGCCCAAGGAAACAGTGTTGGCCTGCAGAAACCCTGTGTGCAGGTAGTGAGTAAATTTCATCTACTGTCAAAACAAAGCAGAGCAGGTAGTGAGATACGGCTAATAAAATACGCCTTGTGAGCTGGGGATGTGGCTCAGAGACAGAGCTTTCTTAGCTTTCAAGAGGCCCCAATTCATCCCCCACTACCACACATACAATGGCCTCATAATGAGTATATCTGCTCACAGATTTTAAAAGTTTGAAAAAACACTCACAGCATTATTTAACTTTTTGGGTTTTGTTTGTTTGCTTGATTGCTCTATTCTGATGATTCAGAAAGTATTTTAGGACAAATATGTCATGTGTTAATTCAACAAATATTTCTCTACCTACAATTTCTTGAGCACTATACTAGGTACTAGGGACACAAAAACTCTTGAACAAAAACTTTCGAGTGCCATCTGTTGTTATCAGATCACATAGTTAAAGAGTTTTTTGTGAAGACTTCTAAAAATAAAAGTCAGCTGCTTTTTTTTTAACTGAGGAAATACAGGGGCTGGGGATTTAGCTCAGTGGCATAAGTGCCTGCCTTGCAAGCAGGCAGTCGTGAGTTCAATTCCCGGTACTGATAAAAAGGAAAAAGACAAAAAAAAAAAAAAAAAAAAAAAAAAAAGAAAAGAAAGAAATACAAAGCCATGCTTGAACTTATTTGGTAACATTTTCTTTGTTTTTCACTTTAAAATCTTCCACTTTTCTCTTTGCTCCTTTGGTTTAAGGAAAGACCCTTTCCAGGAGGTGATTTGGGTTCCAAGACGCCATGCAGCCCCTCCTTTCTGATTCCTCCTCCTGTCCCAGTGAGGGCCACAGTCACAGGAGGGCTTCCCAGACTGTGGGTTTCAGTATAGCACTGACTGGGTAAAAAGCAGAGTAAAAATGCTACTAGGGTTAAAAATGAAACATGAAAAACCCCAGAATACCAGAATGCATTATTTCAACTCCCTGTCCTCCAAATTAAAACCGTAGTGAATGAAATTACAACCATTACTCAAGTGCAGTTATGCCAAGTATGTCAAATTGAAACACTAAAAGTAAATCATACATTTGGATATTACATTTCATATTTGACAATATGCCAGAAAAATTTTATTATGGTTAAGCATAATGTCAGGAGACAAACTCATACAAATTTTATACATAACTTTTTCCACTTATGTCAATTTGAACACATGGTGTGACTTTTAATATTCTCTTTTCTTTTTCTACATCTGATGCCAAGTGATCAAACTCATTCTTCCCCTGCGCCTCCCAGTTCTGGGGAGTGAACCAAGCACATTCACACTGAGCCACATTCCCAACTTTGTTTTTTATTTTGAGACAGGGTCTTAATCAGTTGTCCATGCTGGGCTAAAATCTGTGATCTTTCTGACTCAGCCTCACCAAATGCTGGGATTATAGGTGTGCACTACCACAGCTGGCTTCAATCACGATTATCCAGAATCTGCCCAGGGGAACTTCAGACTAAGAATGTCTAAGTTTTATTAGTGAGGAAAGGGTGCAGAAGAACTTCCAAATCTACAAAGGGGTGGCATGGATGCAAATCAAAGGTTCTGAAAAAAAAAATCATTGCTGATGAATTCCAGAAGACAACTGTGGCTATGGCACTTCTTGCCAGCACCCCTATTAGTTGAGGGGACAGCGGATGATAATAATGCAGACAGCATCGTAGGTGCCGCAAGGCCGATGACTGCACCCTAGCCCAGCACCCGGTTGCAGGAGCCGCGGCCACGCACTCAGGCGCACGCGCGGTAGCCACGGTGACGCTGCCACGACTCCTAACCGCTACCGGGATGGCGTCTGGCTTCAAGAAGCCCAACGTGGCCTCCAGCAGCCAAAAGAAAAAGGTGGGCCCTAAGCCTGAACTCACTGAAGAGCAGAAGCAGGAAGTGCGGGAAGCATTTGACCTCTTCGATGCTGACGGCAGTGGGACCATCGACGTGAAGGAGCTGAAAGTGGCCATGCGGGCCCTGGGCTTTGAGCCCAGGAAGGAGGAAATGAAGAAAATGATCGCGGAGGTGGACAAGGAGGGCACGGGCAAGATCAGCTTCAACGACTTCCTGGCTGTGATGACCCAGAAGATGGCTGAGAAGGACACCAAAGAAGAAATCATGAAAGCTTTCAGACTCTTCGATGACGACGAGACTGGGAAGATATCTTTCAAAAACCTCAAGCGCGTGGCCAACGAGCTGGGGGAGAACCTCACCGACGAGGAGCTGCAGGAGATGATCGACGAGGCGGACCGCGACGGCGACGGCGAGGTGAGCGAGGAGGAGTTCCTCCGGGTCATGAAGAAGACCAACCTGTACTGACGCCACCGCGGGCTGCCTGCTTCCCTGCCCCTGCGTGCGCCTCGACCCGACCGGGGCACAGCCACTGTCGGCCCCACCCCGTCCTCTCTTATTTATCTGTATTGATTTCCAAGCCTCAGATCAATTATAGAGCTTTAAAGATGCTTATAACAACCTGAATTCTGTTTTGTTTGTTTTGAATTCTCAAGAGCAGACCTAGAGGAACTTGTGGTTAAGGGACCCCAAAGCCAGAGCCCACTCACCCTCCACTGGTAGAGAAACATTAAACTGAATGCAGGGACAGCTTCTTGGGTCAAATAGAAATGCGGTTCCTTAGTTACTTCTTCGTTGGTGGCCTTAATTTTTTTTTTTTTTTTTTTTTTTTTTACTGGGTATTGAACTCACCCTGTGCCAATGAGCTATATCCCCGGCAATTTTTTAAATTTTTATTTATTGATTTACTTATTTTCGAGAAAATATATATAGAGAATATATATATATATATATATATATATATATAGAGAGAGAGAGAGAGAGAGAGAGAGAGAGAGATAATATTCAAAGCTTTATTCGTGAGGAAAAGGTGCAAAGAACTTCCAAATCTACAAAGGGGTGCCATGGATGCAAGTCAAAGGTTCCGAAAGAAAACCCATTGCTGATGAATTCTAGAACACAACCTGACTCGCAGCCATCCTCCCTCAGCGTCCCTAGTGCTTGGATTGCAGGATGGCGTCAGCGATCTTGCTTATGTATCATTCCTTAAATTCAAGCGCCTGTTGGAACCTGAGGAGGTGGAAGCGGCCAGCAGGTCATCCTGCTATTGTTTTTCACCTAACTGAGCAGCGATTTGCAGGAAGCATGTAACCCCCTGAGCTAAGAAAGGAATCCATTCTAGAGCATGGGCCTGTCTTTGGGAGGTGGTTAACCGCAATGTAGACTCTTTACTTTCATTATCTGCAAATGGTTCTTCATTTAAGGGTTCTAAATTATCTGCTGGTTCTAGGGTCAATATATAGATTGATTGATTTCCAAACGAATAAATAAAAATAACATGTCACAGTGTCCAAGCAAGCAAAGTATGTAAGGTCTTAGTTTAGGATTTTACTTTTAAAAATTTAGTACATTTTAAGACATTTATCTGTCTTGAGAAGAACAATGAATGTTTTAGTTACTAAGAGTACTAGAACATAATAGTATATATTTTTTACTGTTTTATTTACAGGCAACTGTGTACCTGCTGATTCTCAGAACCTCTTGATCCATGGTAATTGATTTTACCCCTGTGAAAATACAGTATGTGAATGTCTGGGATATAAACAGTTTCCATTTTTTTATGTCTTCTGGGATTGAACCCAGGACGTTTCCTATGCTTGGCAAATGTTCTGCCCCTGATCTACACCTTTTTTTTTTTTTTTTTTTTTTTTTTTTTGAGAAAGCATCTTGCTATGTTGCCCAGGCTGGCCTCAAATCCATGGTGATCCTCCTGCCTCAGCTTACTGAGAGCTGGAATTACAGATGTGCGTCACTGTGCCCTGCAGTTTTTTATTTTATAAATCTGAATAAACTGTCTCACTGTGGTTAGTATATGTATTAATGCTACTTGATTTCTGTAATAAATTGTCTTTCTTGTTTTTAAGTGAAATAAAATATCCTTGAATAGCTACCAATCTGAAGTTAGAGAAAATGTAAATAGTATGTGTCTGTTGAGATGGAGGTTTTGCCTAAAGGCAACAAAACTATTAGAAAGGCAAGATATCTTGGTCACAATTAAGCTTAAATTAAATCATTAAAAATCCCATTAAAAGATATAAATGCTCAAGCCAGGAATGGTGATGTTCATCTATAATCCCAGCACTCAGGAGATTGAGGTAGGAGGATGGCCTTAAGTTTGAGGCCAGCCTGGGCTACATATTGAGTTCAAGGCCTGTGCTATGACACATCTTGCCAGCACCCCTATTAGCTGAGAGAACAGTGGATGAAGCAACACCCTGTCTCAAAAATAAACAAATGCTCAAATTCTGGAAAAATTTTCACTTGGCCAGCTACTTTACCAATTGGGATTGGTAATGAGGGGCATTAGTGCCCCAGCTTAATTCCTCATTAAGAGAGACTCATTTGTCACATCAGTAGTGTTGGTGGAAGTGATGGGTATGCAGGTATTTATTGTGAGAAAGGATTTGCTGAGGTCTCTGGCACAGGGCAGGGAACTAACTCAGACTGAACTGCTAAAGCTCAAGGTCTTCCTGTGGACACAGGTGCAGCTGCAGGGGAATAGATGTGACCTGGGCCAGCATCTGTGGCCAGGGCCTGGTGGGAGGACAAGGGTTGCATGTGGCATTCTAGGAGGCCAGAATTCCTGGCATCCTGCCAACCAGAGTCCTGGCACAAGGATCAACATTTGGATCAACGCAGAAATACCAGCAACAAAGACTGTTGGCAGAAGCCATGAGAAGGGGTAAGAGCCTCAGCCAACTGGACTGGGCTGAGGATTGGCTCCTGGCCCAGCAGAGGACAGATGTGAAAACCAGGACCCAGGTGGAAGCCCAGCAGTCCAGCTGACCACACTGAGGAGCAGAAGACTTAAGAGGTGCTCTGAGGGCACAGCCCAATCCACATAAGGGGGAAGGCGCCAGATCTCTCCAGACCCACTCTCAGCTGACTGAGGGTCTCTGTGCTCACTTATAGTGAGTACTTCTGCTTCTCAGTTGGCTCCTACCCTGAGAATAAAGGGGGTAGGAGAGCCAGCTAGAACAGGCCTAAACTCATATTTGAATTTCAAGAAAAGTTAATCATATGTTTGAGTCAGACATGCACCTGATCTTTTACAAAAAGCAGAGCACAAAAATCTTGCAGAAAATTTGTGAAGACCCTTATGAAAATGAAGAAATAGCTATATAAGTTGGGAAGAGCTAAAAATGTATTTTCCTTGGCTATCACAAATGATTCCAGTAACGAATAAGAAGCAATCAAAGAAACCAATGTAGTTTCCTCATGGTGAGCTCTTGCTTTTTCTTTTTTCTTTTTTTGGTCTTTTTTGTTTTTATCAGTACCGGGGATCGAACTCACGACTGCCTGCTTGCAAGGCAGGCGCTTATGCCGCTGAGCTAAATCCCCAGCCCCCCCCCCTTTTTTAAAATCAGTACCAGGGATTGAACTCACAGCTGCCTGCTTGCAAGGCAGGAGTTTATGCTACTGAGCTAAATCCGCAGACCCTGAACTCTTGCTTTTTTATGATGTATGTAATCACTAGGTCGATGATAAAAATACAACAGCATCCTGGATGTATTAATACATTATCAAGGAAGCTAATGCCCCAAATGAGCAGAGGACACTATAGGGGTATCTCCATTATGTTTACAAGAAGAAGATACAGAAAAAGATCTTGTTCTTTCTAATTTTTTTTTTAAAACAAGGTCTTTGCCCAGACATAGTAACATGTGTCTGTAATCTCAGTACTTAGCAGGCCAGACAGGAGTATCATTGTGAGTTGAGGCCAGCCTGGGCTTGGTAGTAGGTTCAAGGCCAGTCTGAACTGCATAGTGAAACCCTGTCTCAAAATGAATAAATAATAAAATAAAAATTAAAAAGACAGGGTTTCTGTGGTCCAGGCTGACATCAAAATCTCAATCCCCTTGCCTCACCTTCCAAGTGCTGGTGTTACTGGCTGTGTTACCACACCTGGCAAAGGATGGGCAAAATTCTTGAGATCACTGAAGACTGGTTTCCATGGGAAGGAGATTCAGTCTGAGATTTGTGTGTAGGAAAGTAATTCAAGTGTGCCTTCAAAGTCACACAGGTGAAACTGACAGAGGGATTGGGCTGTGACTAAGTTACACCAAGGAAGTTGTCCTTTAAAAAACTTTTCACTGACTTACAGTGACTGAGGCATGAGCTGTCTTCAGAAGATGGGTATGGCTTTGGACAAGGTGGCCCTCTTCAGCCAAAGGCAATCTGGTTAGGGAGAACCCAGGAACAGACTGTGAGCTGGCAACTCTCCTACAGTGTGGTAGAATGCATGTTTCAGTTCCAAGATACAGGGTGGGGCTGTGGGTAGAGCAGGGATATAGGGACTGTGGGAAGTGTGATCTGGGCACTGTTGGTTTCACAGCTTCCACTACAGTCCACCCCTTGCACTACTGAAACCTAATGGCTTTGTATAAATTCCTGGGGAAGCTATTTTAAGATTCTAAGGAATCTCTTCCTGAGAGACTTACAAAGTTAAAGGGGTAAGCTGTAGCTCCTGTTGCAGTAGCTGCTCTCAGTGACACCACTGGTACTCGCCGTGCTCCATATATAGATGTCCCCAAGAGCCTCACACACTCAACAGGCAGGGTGCTTGGAAAGTGATGGGGCTCCGAGACATTACAAATAAGGTGGGTCACTGCGGGGGTGGGGGGGAGTAGACGGGGGACCTGAAGGCTGTATCTCCTTCCCAACTCCTCTCTTCACTCTCTGTGCTTGCTGACTGCCATGAGATAAGACACTTTTCCTCCACTGTGTTCTTCTGCTATGCCATGCTACCTCAGAGTCAGTGGACTACTGAGTGAAGATGTGAGCTAAAATAAACCTCTCCTTTAAATTATGGGTATTGGGCATTGTGTCCCAGTGATGAGAAAGTGAGACACTGCCTCAACAATCCAGACTCCCTTCATCCTCAGCTAGCACCTCTGCTCATATAGGTGGGTTACCTGGTCTATACCCTGAGAGGTATCCGCCTCCAGTTATTTTCATGGTATGATGCTGCATGTACCCCCGCTTATACCATCAAAATTGAGTGACTAAGGGATACTCAAGAGCTTTATTTAACATTTCTTGCAAAGTAAATTACTAATGGCAAACTTTCCAAATTTTTATCTGAGAAAGTCTTATAGTTTAGATTGGGGGGTGTATACTGAAGATTTAAACTAGGGTCTTACACATGCTAGGTATGGACTCTATGTTGAGCTACCTTCTCAGCTGTATTAACCAGGTTTCCCCTTCTGAGATAACACCCAACACCCACAACCTAGAAGAAAGATTTAATTTGGTCATGGTTTTAGGGGATTCGGTCAATGCCCAGCTAAAGGCAGAAGGTAGTAGGGAGCAGAGATGCTTAGTTCATGGCATCCAGGAGCAGAGCAAGGGAACAGGCTCAGGGAAGGAGGGTCCAGCAACCAGATACAGTACCCAAGATG